AAAATCCAACAAGCAAGGGAAAAAACAAGAAACAAAAGATGGCAGGGGAGGATTATGTCCATATTCCAAGACAATAAAAATTTTGCTAAGATTTAGCTAACATTAAAATACTTACCACTAATTTCAGAGGGATTTAGTTTTAAAAAGTAATTAGAAAGACAAGAAAAGGTGACAATTTAAGAGTACATTTTAGCACATCTTTCCAATGAGTCATCTTAAAAAGTGTCCTTGTACATTTTTGCTATTATGTAAAGTATTATTAGTATGAATGGGCATACCCTAAGCTTACAGGAAAAAGGTGAAAGTAAACATTTTAAGATCACCCAAGGGATTCAAAGAACTATTCAAACACATTTTTAAATAAATACAATATTAGGCAAAAAGATATTTTCCACAAATGCTATGTTCCCTTTTGTGGACTTCCCTTAGCAAGGGCAGATTTTTTATTTCTCCTTCTCCAAACATAAGCCCCCGTATTCCTCACCTCTCATTTAGCTGAAGGTACACATCCACAACTGCTCCATTCAGTCTGTAATTAGATGTATTACGGGATTCCTCACCGATATTAAGCTCTCATATAGCAGGATCTGTGAGCTATCATCTCATATTAGCTACGAGATTCCATCCCACCCTGATGATGACCAATATTTTAAATCCAATATTTTTAAAAGTCTGATTTAAAAAAAAAAAACCCAAACAAAGAACATCCTACCAAAACAAGACAACGCACACACTTTTCCCTTTGGGGAGAGGATGAGGGATTAAAAACATGTGACAGATGTTACTCACATCACTTAATGCAATACTGGATGGCAATCAGATAATATAGTCATGAGTGCAGCATACAAACCTGTAGAGAATTTAATTTAAAACTCAAACATACTGACTACACCATCTTTGTTGTTTTAATCAGTGCAGTTTAATAGACGCTTATGATAGCCATCCCATGTGCCACCTGATTGCAGCCTGTGTACCACAGTTTGAAAATCTCTTTCCTACTGCATAACACATCTTGTTTAGAGTGTTAGAAGTCCTACACTAGGCCTGTTCCTCCCACCCCATATACACAGATACTAATCTTTTATTCCTATATACAGATTTTAGCAGTTCTTCAGCAATACACATATTAGCCCTTGTGCTTCTTTATGGCCTTCTCCTTCCATTCTTTCACTTTTGAACACCCACTCCCTAGATATCTCCTGTTTCCATTCTCATTCTCCTCCTCCTCCTCTCCCCTTTTCCTATCGTAAGGCTGTTCCAATCCAGGACTTTGGAAGCCCACAACTTGCATTGTGCAAGGTTTTATAACCTTGAAACAACTGCACTTAATAGGATATTCACTGCAAATTTTCTTAGACTTCTCAAAGCATCAGTTCTTATTGAAGACAAAAGAATAAAACAAAACTGATATCTAAGACAAGCCATTTCTTACATATGACAATAAAAAACACTGTTTGAAAATGTTCCCAAGAAGTGAAAATACCTCATTTTTAAACACCAAGACACCTTGTCCAATTTGCTTCAAATTTCACAGAAAAATTCAAGTCTGATAAGTTGCATGTGGAAGTTTCAGATGGATTGGTTCAGTTTTGGCAAAGTCAGAGCGGGTGGTCAAAAAGAACTCTCCAGAAAGAGAGACTAGCACCTCTCAATAGTGATTCAAACATCAATTTGGCATTTGTGGACAGAAGCATTGTGCACATATTTTTTCCACTAGTCCCTTTAGAAAAATAGGGCAATTGGTAAAGAGCCTCTTATAACATAAGCCTACTAAAATGCATTTCTATACTCATCCAATCATGAAATTATCCGAAAGTATACAAACAACAGAAGATTAAAAAACAAAGGACCAATAAAAGAAGGCAATTGGTAACTTCTTGTGAACCTGGAGAACAACTCCATCTGGCAAACTGTACAATGGCTATAAAGTTATCATACTAAGCAGAGTTTTTGAGTTTAAACAGCACTGTCTGCAGTCTAGACATACCATCTTGTTCTGTAAGATCTGATGTTATCACACGCTAGATTTTGTAAAGTCTAATAAGGTCAGTTGCCCTCTGAACCAGCCCCAGCATGTTGTTTTGTAATGAAGTTATACATGCTGCTGTAAAAGTCATCTTTCAGATGAGACATAAAACCAAAGTCCTGACCCCCTGTGTAGTTATTAATGATCTCCTGGCACTCTTTATAAAAGCTGGGGTAGGGTCCTGGCTAACATCCAACTCTAGTAATAACATTCTACTTACCTACAATTACCCCTGCAGTTATAATAAGAAGATACTCTCCACTTCCTGTTCTAAACTGTCATGTAGTATTGTTGTGCACTGTTAAAGAGTTCCACATTTCATCTGAGATCTGCATTTCAGTGGTGCATTAATTTATCTGAGCGTATAGTGTGTTAAGTACTTAGAGACCCTTTGGAATAAAAGGAGCTTTATATATGTGAGATAGTATCAGTAATGATAAGGCGTAGGTCTTAGGAACAGGAAAGCACACTATCATCCCCTAATCTGCTGTCACTAACAGTATTCTGGGTGCCATGATTATACCCTCCCCCACTGCACCAAGAACCACCATGAAAAATGTACTTTCAAGTCTTCTGCCACATTGCTTTAGGGTGGCAATTTCCCCACATGAGCAACTACAGTGATCATATTTTTTCCATGGACATCATATTTTATCAGAGACAAGAGACACTACAGAAAGATGCAATCACTACAACCCATAAAGGGAAGTGTACACATGCATCTACCTTACAGGACACGAAAATGTGTTTCCCTTAGTTTTGCAAAAGAAGAAGATTGATAATTATAGAGATGCATTGAGTGGGAAGGAAGAAAAGGTGTTTAAGAATGATGGACGTTGAGGGAAAAGTGAAAGAAAAGAGGGCTGGAGTGTAGTGACACCAGAAGAGAAAAGGATAAGGAAAATTAGAAGAATATGGCATAAGGCAGTGGCTCTCAACCTTTCCAGACAACTGTACCCTTTCCAGGAGTCTGATTTGTCTTGCATATCCCCTAGTTTCATCTCATTTAAAAACTGCTTGCTTACAAAATCAGACATAAAAATACAAGAGGTATCACAGCACACTATTACTGAAAAATTGCTTACTTTCTCATTTTTACCATATAATTATAAAATAAATCAATTGGAATATAAATATTGGTTTCAGAGTAGCAGCCGTGTGAGTCTGTATTTGCAAAAAGAAAAGGAGTACTTGTGGCACCTTAGAGACTAACCAATTTATTTGAGCGGTTTCAGAGTAACAGCCGTGTCAGTCTGTATTCGCAAAAAGAAAAGGAGTACTTGTGGCACCTTAGAGACTAACCAATTTATTTGAGCATGAGCTTTCGTGAGCTCATGAAAGCTTATGCTCAAATAAATTGCAAAAAGAAAAGGAGTACCTTAGAGACTAACCAATTTATTTGAGCGGTTTCAGAGTAACAGCCGTGTCAGTCTGTATTCGCAAAAAGAAAAGGAGTACTTGTGGCACCTTAGAGACTAACCAATTTATTTGAGCATAAGCTTTCGTGCTGTAGCTCATGAAAGCTTATGCTCAAATAAATTGCAAAAAGAAAAGGAGTACTTGTGGCACCTTAGAGACTAACCAATTTATTTGAGCATGAGCTCATGCTCAAATAAATTGGTTAGTCTCTAAGGTGCCACAAGTACTCCTTTTCTTTTTGCAATTTATTTGAGCATAAGCTTTCATGAGCTACAGCACGAAAGCTTATGCTCAAATAAATTGGTTAGTCTCTAAGGTGCCACAAGTACTCCTTTTCTTTTTAATATTGTACTTCCATCTCAGTGTATAGTATATAGGGCAGTATAAACAAGACATTGTCTGTATGAAATTTTAGTTTGTACTGACTTCACTAGTGCTTTTTATATAGCTTGTTGTAAAATTAGGCAAATATCTAGATGAGTTGATGTACCCCCTGGTTGATGTACCCCCTTTGTGTACCCCCAAAGATACATGTATCCCTGGTTGAGAACCATTGGCATAAGGCATTGAGGAAGGGTACAGTGAGCAAACAAATGGTTTCAGCGTGTAAATTTAGATTTTTTTAAAAATACAGCTTATACCAGTTATTTTGGCATTAATTGGGATTACTTAACAATTGACCAAAACTTCTGAACCTCAAATAAAGCTTCTGGCTAACCCGGTATACATTATTTCTAATTTCCTCACGCCTGTGCACTTCCTAGTTCTGAATCAGAAATAACAAAATATCAACAGGAAAGGTTCATGTCTCAGTATTTCTGGCCTTACCAGAAGTACCGGAAAATACACAGGAAAGCATGTTCCTTAACTGTCGACCATTCATTTATACCACACCCTTGACCAGAATATCCAAACATCTACAGCTGCAAAGTTCCTCTAGAAAAAATAAATAAAATAACTACTACTACTAATAAAATAAGGGCTGGTTCATACTTGTGACTAGGTTGTGAAAGAGTATCAACATCTAAACCAACAACTATATGTTATGTTTATATCTGGATATATTATCAATTTTTCATTCAAAGTATATAACTACCACAGAGCAGGACTTTCTCAAGCTGACAGAATCTGAGTGAGGTAAACTGAAAAGGCATCGTTAATACATTAGATCAAAAATCTTAAATCATCAATAAAACTCATGCGAGTTGATATAAGTTTAGCAAGCTACAATGACAGTCAATACTGAGATATTCGTGTTATAGGTATTTCAGAAAAGCTTTAGCTACACATAATGAGTTATTCATGTATTTAGAATTCTACTGCTCAAAAGAGACATAGCTCCTTTCTGTGATTAAAGACAGCAGCAGTCACACAGTCTCATAACAGCACCAGCTAATACCATATAAAATAATATAACGTAAGACACAGACTAAAACTGCAGTCAACAGAGTGGTCACAATTTCACTCCTTTTTACGTGTACAAGGCTCGAGATAAATGGTTTATAAAACCATACATGGCTGGTGCCTGCATGAGCTAAGAATCCTCTGCCTACATTGTTCTGGGTCTGTATCATGTTTTCCCCTCTCTCGGGGAGGCTGACTCCAGGGAGTGAGATTAGAGAAGGCCTCTCTAGAGCCTGGCAGCGGCAGCTCTCACATTCACTCACTCTCTCACAGAGAGTATTTCAGGGCCGGGTCACTATTTAGCAGGAAGGTGCCCTGGAATTCCCGCAGGCGCAGTCTCTGCCGGTTTCACCCGAAACTCTCACACGCAGGTCAGCGGGGGGGATGTATATAGCACCCCAGCCCCTTCGCTGCTCCACAGTCCCCCCTCTTCCCTCCCTGCACCTGCACGGGGGCCACCCTCTGACGGCGGGGCTCAACCCGCAGGGGCCCCGGGGCGTTCCAGCCTCTCCCTGGGGGCTTCCACTGCCCGACGCTACCTCGCGAGGGGCTTCCCCTAACCCTCCCGGCCCCTCCAGAGAGGCTCCTCTCAGCCCCCGCATGAGCGCCCCTTCCCAGCCAGGGGGCTCCCCGCCAGCCCCCAGGCGATTACTCCCCCCTTAAGGGGCTCGCCCCTCATGACTGGGGGGGGATATTAATGCTGCCCCTGCCACCCCCCGGTCCCCGCCCCACCAGGGCCCCCGCCTGCCGAGCCGCGGGGCTGCTGCCTCCCCCGGGAGCCGCCGCCGCTGCGGGAGGGGGGAGCGGGGAGCAGACAGCTAAGCCCGCGGGCCGGGCCGGGGACGGGCATACCGCTCGCTCACCTGCCTGCCACGGCCAGTCACCCCCTCACGGCACAGCACGGCCAGCAGCCCCGCTCTGTGTACTCCGGAAACGGCGGCTCCTCAGCCGGGCGCTGGGGGGAGGGACCAGGCAGAGCGGGGCCGGGAGGAGCCGGGGAGTGACAGGGGTGGGGAGGGGAAGAGGAAGGCGGGCCGGGGAGGTGGGGAAGGAGCAAGCGGGCAGAGAGCGGAGATGGGGCTAATGGGAGGAGAGGAAGAATGAGGAGCCGGGATGGGGCGGAGAGGGGAAAGCAGAGAGGCTAGGGAGCGGGAGTCCGGCTTCATCTCTCCTCTCCTATCTGTCCCCCAACCTTTCTCCTTTCCGCCATCTCTTCCCCCTCTTTCTCGCTGCCCCTGCCTCTCCCTAGCTCTTTTCGTCTCCTCAGGAGAGGGCACTATGGGAGCAGGCTGACCAGAGAGTGCACCCAGGCAAGCACCCCATGCAGAGCCCCCTGAAGCGTCCAGGCCTTAGAGTAGTGCACTCAAGTGTCCAGAGGACAGGATGGATGCTGCAGTGATGTGCCAGGAGAAGAATGAATTCGAGAAATGAACTTCAAAGGCAATTTAAGAGAAACAGGTGATGTGGGGAGGGGTGTGTGTTGTGATGCTGGGAAGTTTAGGTTGTTAAAACTCAATATAGTAGGGGAGGAGGGAAAGAAATTAGTGAATATGTTGTAGCTGCATAATCCACTAATGAGATTTGCTGCTTTGATATGTAATTATTAAGTTGGATGCGTTTCCTTCTGTAGTGCAGCAATTATTATTATTTTTTATGATGGAGGTTTTTAACTATTCCTGTCCACAATTTTTTTTAAAGCCTGACTAAAAGAACATGATAAAATTCAACGTCATTGTTAAATGACATTAGACTGGAATTAGAGAACTTTCAGTGCAGCATAGCTGCAATGTGCTTTCTCACCAGTCACTCATGATGTAAAAAAGAAAAGGAGTACTTGTGGCACCTTAGCGACTAACCAATTTATTTAAGCATAAGCTTTCGTGAGCTACGGCTCGCTTCATCATTGCATCCGATGAAGTGAGCCGTAGCTCACAAAAGCTTATGCTCAAATAAATTGGTTAGTCTCTAAGGTGCCACAAGTACTCCTTTTCTTTTTGCGAATACAGACTAACACGGCTGTTACATCATGAGTGGTTTCAGAGTATTTACTAGTGGTTTTATGCACTCTTCAGGAAATGTTTGAAGTGTGGTGTCTTCAGGGCAGGAGTTTAAACAAATTTATTAACACACAATTTGAATATTGATGTAAATTTCAAGTCTGTACAGGAAACTTGGTTGCAGATAGTAATGAATTTTCAAATCCAGGAATACTCTGTGAGGGAAAATAGGCTTAATGAAGGGGGAGGAGTAATGTGTATTTCTTTTAATTTTTTTAAATGATATGAGGTATTAATTTGAAAAGTGAACAGAAGTGTAATGCAGTCACAGAATAGGCAGGTGGAGGTTGGATTAAAAAGTAGCATGTATGTAGTCCTAGTAGAGTAGTTTAAGAACTGTTAGCCTAGGGAGAGCCAAATGCTTTGATGGAAGGGCCTAAAAGTCTGATGGGCTTTCATTAGCTCAGAACAAACCCTCAAATAAATGTTTTGGAGAAGATAGTAACAGAATGAAATTAACAAGAATTTACATCAGTTTCTGCTGCTAATCAGAACCCATGGGAAGCCTGGTAGAAATCCCTGGAGCCATTGGCTTCTCAACAATTGATGGAGGCTGAAGGACTGGGCTTCTAATGAGCATGTTGCCCTTAGACCTTGCTGTGCCCTTTTCACAATGTTCCATACCTACCTCTTGCTAGTAAATTTAGTCTTCCAACTAGTAGGTCTCTGGGGAAATTTTCAAGTTCAATTTTCAAGTGGGCCAGATGCGACCAGGGAAGAGATGGCTGGAGCTCAGCTGGCTACTTCACCAGGGTGGGCAGTTGTGATATTGTTCCTTCTACTGGAGGGTGGAACAGTGAGGCTGCTACTTTGTTTAAACCAAAAGGTTGGTACGGATTGGTAGAGAGAGGGGGAGATTGAGGAGTGAGTTAGAAAAGAGAAGCTGGGGTTTGAGAGATTTTTGTGTTGGGAAGGAAGGAGAGACCGACACTATGAAGAAGAAGATAGAGAACACAATAGAAGAAAAGAAAGAGGACTAAACAGAGTGAGAATGAGAAGAAGGAAAAGATAGTTGAAGCAATGCAGGAAAAGATACACAATATCCATGTTAGAAAGAAAAAGTGGAGTGAAGCCAGAAAGGGATAGAAGCTATTGTAAAGCCATGGAGCAAGGGCATCAAATACATTTTCAGAATGTATTAAATACAGAGGTGATTGACAGTCTTACTGTTGAGAATACAAAGACTTGTATTCCTTTATATTGCATGGGGTTGTGGGTTTAGGGGGCATGGCAGTGTTGTTTTTCACCCTGACTAGTTGGCTTTGTCCTTTGAATAGTAGGTGTCAGGTAAATATTTTTTAAGCCCTGCTGTAATAAAACATTAAAAATACAAGAGTGAGAAAGAAGGGGTAGAAAGAAGGGCCCCTTACTGACAAGGACAAGCAATACCGGATGAAAAATAAAAAAATGTGTTGGTATATAACTCATTGGATATATTGCTATGAAGTTTGGTATAACTTTACAGGATTGAGTAACAGATAACGTTTCTGGGTTTTTTTGCCTCTGCTTTTTTGCTTCTTGTATGTTAAGATGATTTAGATCTTGATCCTTCCAGTACTTTAGAACTTCAATAGGACTAGTCATATGTAAAGTTATGCACACGTTTAAGTGTTTGCAAGATAAAAGCCTTAATGATCACACTGGGCCTGGTTATGCCCTATTTATTCACACTGACTGATATCTTGGTACACAAATAATCCTATTGAAGTCAGTGGTCCTATAAAACAGAAAAAAGTGCTAACTAACATCAGTAAATATGGCAGAATCAAGGCCTAAAATGATCATGTTGATTTTGCTTTCCAATATATCCTTACATATCCCTATGCAACTCTTACAAAGCTAATAATTTCAACATGTGAGTCTGTATCTAAAGGTGAGACATCTGAATTTTAGAATTGTTGAAGGTTATAAATGAAAGTGTCAAAGTCCAGGAGGTTGATAGTAAAATTCTGGCTCTGGAGCCAAAATCTGTGAACCCAATTACATTAATGGAACAACAACAACAAAACCATTAACACCTTTTTAGATGTGATCAGTATATGTTGGATTATGCTAATTTGGTTCAGTTCAGTCTGACTAAAGTCCATACTACCTAATGTATAATAAAGTGTAATATACTTGAGAAACTAAGGAGAATATACATAATGTGCTGGCCATGTATCTAGACATTTGTTTTGACAGTTCTAGTTTGGCTTGCAAGTTCCAGTTCAATAATTTCCCTGTATGTGTAACTGAATATCCTTATTCATGTTTTGTAAATTACCAGTGTAATGTTTACTTTTTCTTAATTTTGGGATGGTGGTAATAAGATCAGCTATTGATTAGAATGATGAAATCTGCATACAATGGCTGTGTTTAATTACATCTATTCATTTCCTATGTGTATTAATTGTTGTGTTTCCTGTTGTGTATTAATATATCTGAGAAGTACTTTCCAAAAGCTCCATTGAATAGGAAGGGAAGGAAATCTGTGCACTGGTGGAACAAAGAATGTAACAATGCTGTTTAGCAAGAGGAAGCCAGCTTTTAATACCATTAAATGTACTATGAGTGCTTCTGATCTCATAGGTTGTAAAAGGAAGAAATCATCACCTCCGAGAAAGGGCAGAATTGGCACACTCTTACTGTGGTAAGGTTAATAATAAGGATATTCCTATCAACAAGGTCTAGGATAAGATTAGGAGGATGAATGCTGGTAATAAAACTCCTAAAGAATAGGTTGTCTTATGCAGTAAAGGAAAAGCTGATTTACTAGGGATTTTTTTTTATCTGACAGGGGTGTTATGTGTAGGAAAAGGAAGTATGAGAAATTCAGGATAATTTTGGAAAACAGTGGAGATCAGTAATATTCTATAGTATCAACATTGATTTCCCCTTTGAGGGTGCCTATTATTGTAAGCAGGGCTAGCCCTAGACCAAATGGCGCCCCAAGTGAAGAGTGTCTTTGGTGCCTCCCTCACCCCATTTGTTAAACTTTTGAATACCTTATTTTTTATTGAATTTGTAGCCCATTTCACGACTTTGATTCATGATATGCATGTATGATTTATCTCTGTCATATAAGATGATAAATTTGCCCCACCCCTAGCCGGAGCACTGCTCCCCCATCTCAAGTCCCTGCCCCAGCCCGGAGTCCTCTCCCACACCCCAAACCCCTCATCTCTGGCCCCATCCCAGAGTCCACATCCTCTCCCGCACACCAAACCCCTCGGCCCTAGCCCGAAGCCCCCTCCTGCATTCCAAACCCTTCATCCCCGGCCCCACCTCAGAGCCTGCACCCCAGCCCGGTGAAAGTGAGTGAGGGTGGGGAAGAGCAAGCGATGGTGTGAGGTGGGATGGAGCAAGCAGGAGGCGCGACCTTGGAGAGGGGCGGGGGTGTTTAGTTTTGTGTGATTAGAAAGTTGACAACCCTAGGAGGGGGCCAAGAGGGACCATGGGTAGAATGTGGGCGGAGGTTTGGGGGGAGGAGGCTGAGGAGAAACAGGCCTTGGGGAGGGGCCATGATCGAGGCGCATGCAGCCTCCCCCAATAGAGGAGTCACAAACGGCCCATGACTCCAAGCCCAGCACCCAGGCAGACACCTGGGTCCCCTGCCACTAAATCCAGCCTTGATTATAAGTCAAATGTACATAAATCCTGTTGTTATAACATATTGAAGTACATGAACAGCAGCCGTATAGTATTGATACTTTAACTGTATATTTGCACTGGAGGCTGAACTGTAGCGAAAAGGTAGTTTTAGAAATGGATATACTGTGCATTTTGTACAATTCATTATAATTTTGTGAGGCCACATTCCTCTACTGGATTGTAGCCTGACTGCTCTTGACATCTGTGGATATTTGACAACGTTGGGATACACATAGTCTAATAAGGCTTCTAAAAATAAATGTCACAAATCATTCATTCCAGTTGTCAGGGTAGGAATAATCCTGTTGTCCTGGAGCCCTGCACAATCAAAATCCCATTTCATACACGTGAAATCTAGTTATTTTCTGTCTGACAAAAAGCTGCTGACCCGCACTTAACTGCACAGACTGACCATTGTGTCCAATCTGAGGCTCAAATGAGCACTGGCCTCCTGCCCATTTCCTTTATAAACACCACCAAATGACAAGAAATTAATTATTTGTCCCCCACAGCCTGCCACTTTGCTAAATTCTCCCCCTGCCTCTGCTCAGCCAGTCAGACTTTGGGAAGAATGCGTATGACTAGCTACATGGCTACAAACAAAAATGAGAATCAGGTTATAGTTGGAAAAAGTCACCTTAAAATACTCACCATAGTAAAAATAAATAATTACAAATCTCTCTCACTTTCGTGAGGTCCAATCAAATTCTCATTGAAGTAAATGGGAGCCTTTCCATTGCCTTCAGTGAGAATTGGATCTGCCAAATGTCCTGCCATCTAATGTACTGAGGCTCCCCACATTGCTTTTTCTCATATCTGGACCTGATGTCATCAATATTATTAAAAACAAAAATTCTCACTTGACTGGCAGCAAATAAACTTTCCAAAGGTGGCCAACAAGTAAGAATGACATATAAGCATGACTCCCTGCAATCCATTTTGTTTACAGACCACAGAAGAATTTCAGTTATTTTTAAGGTCAACATCCTTAATCCAGAGATGAAGCAGAAAAAGTGTTTTGTTTTTAAATAGTAGACATCATTAGAGATCTGGTCAGAAGTTTTCCTGAGACAACTGCCTCCAAGTACTGGTGCTGAATTGGAGGACTGGACTCTGAAGTAAACTAAACCTCCCCTCCCTGCCCCCACCAGCCAGACCTGGTACAGACATGGAATTACCCCAACTGCACGCACACAATAGTAATCTGAATTTGATATTTTTATTTCAGGAAATAAGCACATGTATAATTGTTTTGAATGCCTGATGATTCAGACGTCTGGGATCTCATTCTGCTTGTTTTCATTAAAACTTTAATGAAAAGGAATTAGCCTGCAAAACCACAAAAATGCAGTTTGCAACCAGGATGCTGGCAAAGCAGTTCGCAAAGTAGTTGAAATATTGGAGAAGTCCATGTATTTTAATAATTTATCCTGATGACTAACAAATTATTATGCATTTATTATTAATTTATTAGGTACAAGCAATGGGCTTAGAGTTGTACAAAACATGGAGGAAATATGGAGACATTTGGGACCTGATCCTGTGAGGTACAAAGTTGAATTGTAGTTGGCAATGGATGGCACCTTGTAGGACTGGTCCCTCGAAGGCTTCCATAAAAACAGATATGCACTCCATGTGTGAATGAGGGTTAGACAGATATAAGATGTTTTCCGTATTTAGAAATGTGAGTGTAGTAATGCAGAACACACTCGTATAAGGTTCCGAGTGGGAACAAATCTTAACTCTCAATAACTGACCTATCCTATTATTATGTTAAATATTCATGTCTCAAAAAATACTAGTACTAAAACACCACTTAAGGAAGAGTAGAACAGACCATAGAGTTCATTCTGCTGACAGAGAGGTTTAAACAAGCATTAGTATAAACTACCTATTGGATTTGTTTCCAAAATGTGTTTTCACTAACTGCCAAATCCTACTCCATTTCCTCATATGACTAATCCCAGTGAGACTATTCACATGAATATGATTAACAGGATTTGGCCCCAATCCGAATGCATCTTGGATTGGACATATAAGGCAGTTTTAATCATTTATACTCAAGATACATGTTAATATATGAGCTGTAAATCGTGAGGAAAATGTTTTGTTTTGTTTTTTTAAAGAAATGATACTTAATATTAAGGAAATGGTCTGGTAATGCTACCACTAAGATTGCTTTAAAGAGTTTCTGTGCAATGGTTACTACAGCATGGGGGACTGAAAACTGCTACGTTGTGTTGGTTCTGGTGAGGGTACTGTAGCAAAAACAACTTAACTTGAACAGCCATAGTGTTAATTTTATCACCTTTGGCCTACAATGGATATTTTCTGTTATGAAAAGCTGCCAAATAAAGGATAGTTTAGAAACGGAGAATGTGATATCATTAAAATAATTGTGCCGAGTTCTAGCTGGAAAAACTCTCATTAATGTCAATGGATGTTGCACAGTTGAAGCCTTGCACAATTCTTTGATGTACAGGAAAGTGTTGTTGACACAACTTAGTTCATACACACCTCCTTTCTGAAGTTGCCTTTATTAATATAAATTTCTTTTATTACAGTAGTGCCCAAAGGCTCTAGTCTGGATTGGGTACCTATTGTGCTAAACACTGCACAAACATACAGGAAGACATTCTCTCAAGAATAATTAAACATAAACCACAACCTAAGCTTTCTCCTGAAATGGCTGTTTCTAAGTGTTTTCACTACATCTCCTACCTCAACTCCTGAGCTGAAATGACGACCAATGGTATACAGCCACAATGAATCAAACTCACTGGAGTTACACCGGTGCATGACCATTGTAAGTGAAAGGAGAATCATGCCTGATGAGACATACCTGGCCTGTCTACCAGCAGGGGAACAATGAGTCGGAAGTCCTGCCTCACCTTCCTTCATTGAATAGTCTTGCATCTCCCTTTAGAGTTGTAGCAATTGACCACATATTAAATTCTCCTAAAATGAGAGGTTTGGAGGGTAAGAATGGTTTATTATTTTTGCTGTCCATAGTTAAATAGCTGCTGCACTTTACTCCCAGGTTACTGAATTTTAAAGGTGTGGTCAGACTGTACCTGTCCCTCAATTTTTATGAACTTTACACTAACTTATCAGATATTGCAGTACAAATACACATACCTAGGATTCTTTAGCTGCATGTAGTGAAAGCAACCAAAAGATGTATGAAGATAGTAAGAATAACAAATAATAAATAGTCCATTATATACTCATTCAGCTCTTTTCTACTATCAGAACTTCCATATATCCAGTTTCTTTTGGAATTTGAATAAGAGAGAGACACATACCAGATGGGCCCTCATTTAGATTATTTAAATAAGCATTCTGCTATCAACCAATTGTATGCATCTTAGGGACCTTTGCAGTTACAGCAGAAAGAGAACAGAACAATGGTAGGGATCCTAAAAAGGGAGTAATAACATGCAGAAGGGATTATCATGTATAGAGGGAATCTACACCCATTCACCTTCCTTTTTAGCAAGAGAACATTTTCAGAATACAGACATTGTACTGCAGTTCACAGACTTCATCATTTTATTATAAACCAGGGAGAAAAAATAAGTTGAAATGCCTAATCAGAGTGAACATTAGAAAAGGCTTACTAATTAATAAAGGATCCTTTTGTGACTCTATCACAGTAAGGTTCACTTTCTGCATGATTAATATGTACTAACTCAATATGAGGTAAAGATTATATGAAATGTCTCATGAGAAATTTCTTTGATATTCCATTAGTATTTGTTGCAGCCAATTTTGTATCCAGTTCAAAGATGACCTCGATATGTTTCAATATATTTGTATTTTGCCATCTTGACTGTTTTTCCACAAATACCATAAGAGATGCTTGAACTATAGGTTGTTACAAGGATTTGAATGATTAAAGTGCACACACTTTGTCACATTTGTTTTTGTTTTCCACTGTACTAAATGCTTTACAGGGAGGAAGATGGTGAATGAACAGTAATATCTACAGGTCTAGCCATCAGCAACAATATCCTGAGCTGGGGAGACAGAATGGAAATGCAGACATTTTTTGTAGAAAACAGCCTTAGAAACCATTCTATCCTGATGTGGAAACGGCACCTAATGAACACTCATGAGCAATACAAAAGCACTGTTAATATGCCCCAGCTTTCAAACCAGAAGCACACATTGTCCCTGACTGTGCAGATTATTGCTGCTGGACAGTGAATGAGCGGTGCAGTTGTGGGAGGATATGATTTGCCATTGCCAAGAACACAGGACCTGTGCCCACCAACAGTGAACCCATGCCTTCTGTTGCAGAGTGGCCCCTCTATAGGTTTTGGTTGGAGTGTGCTTTCTGCCATGCACATTTGGCACTAAAGGGGTTGTGTTTTTCTCTATACTGGGGAAGTAATATTGACAGGATCCAGTGTTTTCAATTCTGGCAATCTGATTGCAAGTCTTGTCATAGAATCATAGAAGCTTAGGGTTGGAAGAGACCTCAGGAGGTCATCTAGTCCAACCCCCTGCTCAAAGCAGGACCAACCCCAACTAAATCATCCCAGCCAGGGCTTTTCAAGCCAGGCCTTAAAAACCTCTAAGGATGGAGATTCCACCACTATCTGGTGTTTTCTGAAGGCTACAGCTCCTGGAATCATGGGATTATGTGAGCATTTCAACCCAACCTATAATTTTTTTAGGGCCATGTCTCATGATTTTTGAACACTTGGGACTGGCAATGCTGCATGGTACAAAATTAGGATTAAGTGAAATTAATATGTGGATACATATCTTGACAATATTAGATACTGTAGTTGGTTTTCCATGAGCATATAAACAGTGAGCATATAGCCAACTGAATTTAATCCTTCCTACATTTTTCAAATATAAGGGCAGAAATCTGGACAGAATGCACATACATCCAGTGTATAAGAAATACATATCTAATTCCAGGATTCACAGATACAAATACAGAAACAACAATGGAGTAGATCTAAAGCTCGTTAATACCCTAATTTGTCCTTTTATCAAATTATTTTTGAAAGGTATGTCCCCAATCCTGCAAGCAGATTCTGCCCAGATCTCATTGCAGGATTGTATAACAGAACTTCATCTGCTGACATAAATGTGGAGCATCTAGTATAGCTCCATAATATGTCTGATCCTATTCCCGTTAGAGGTCATGGGGATTTTGTGATTCACTTCAATGGGAGCAGGATTGGGTCCACAGTTTATTAATTAAGGATCACATTTTCAAATGCTTTCAGTCTGGCCTCTAATCCAGCAAATAGTTGAAAATGTCAGAATGCTTACAGGTTGAAAGAATTATTCAGCACCTTTCAGGATGGATTGCAAAATTGTACCTGCAATTTAAGGGCCTGCAATTATTTGCGTTATAATCATTCCTGTATTACCACACATGTTCACAGTCCTTTTCAAACTCAAAGAACTGTGATACGCAGACAGGCAAATAAAAAATACGGGCAGAGAGTTCAAACAGAATATGGAGAGGGAACAATGTCTGCGTAGAGAGCAAAAAGATTGATTTAAAAAAAAAAGTGAGATTTATAGAGAGACTATGAGGATAGATCTTGGCAGAGAAGTGAGAGGCCGTCTTTTGGCATCTACATTTAATTTTTAAAAAATCAGGTTAATGGTGTTATCCTATTTCTTCTTCTTCTAAAATAGAAGTATAAATTACAGGGCAAATACTTTGAAACTGAGACCAGCTGTAGTACATTTGAATGTACAGTTCCTGAGAGGGTTTTTAACACTAGTAGTAATAATTCTTTTTAAAAATTTTTGATAGGATACCTATCTTTCACCGACACAATTTCATTAAATTGCAATGATAGCAAATAATAATCTTACGAAATCCTGTTTATAAATGAATATTAAAGTGTTTGTTTCTATTTATTAAGACTGAGAGATTACTTTAGCATATTGCTGAACAACTGTTTATCTTTGCTGACAGACTGGTTTACATTACTAGGGTATGTGCTGCAGTACACCAAATAGCATTATCCAATTGACTTTTATTTTTAGGCCCCTGGGTAGCAGACACAAATTGGCACACCATTGCTACTCCAGTCATGTCTGGTATAAACCCAGTAGCAGCCCCACTGAGAGAGGAGGAAGAAGACTGGCAGTGGGAACAGCATAGGGTGTCCTGTTTTTATAGGGACAGTCCTGGTTTTGGGAACTTTTTCTTATATAGGTGCCTGTTACCCCCCATCCCCTGTCCCGTTTTTTCACAGTTGCTATGTGGTCACCCTAGAACAGCAGCACTGCAAAACGTAAGTGTTAAAACTTTTAACTCCAGTGATTCAGATACCAAACATTGCCACACATGTATGTTGCTGCCTAGCTGCCATTGCTCCCCCAGTAAGGGTCCCTAATAATAAAAAAATCATAGAGTTATTAATAATGTGCAAATAAGCAAAATATCATCAATGGCAGTCACTTCCCATTTGCTCTAGAGAAAGCCCTAATTCCCCAAATGTGTGTATTACTCAATGCTAATATTGGAAAGAAGCAAATATTTTTCAAAGAAGCAAGCATATTTTGAAGAATATATACTGAGGACCTGGTCCTGACCCCATTGAGGTGAACAGCTATATTATTATTAACTTAATAGTAGCAGGAGCAGTTCCTAATTATGTAAAAAATGTATTTTTGCTATGGACCAAAACAACTCTCAATTACACATTTATATTAAAATTATTTAATTTGTAAAAAGGACATTTTTCAGGAAAAGTTTAGCATTTTCTCAAAAATAATTACTTTCAGGACCTTTACTCTCTATAATGTAAATATATTCTCAGAATAAGTATAATGAAAACCTCTTAGGAAAAGTAGTTATTGTTCCATAGACAGCAGGCATATTAGCCACCTTACAAAATTAAATAACAGCCCTTTGGCTCATGTTACATAAGACATACAGAGACAATAATTCCCTCTGTGGCCTTAGAAAGTCACCCAAAGTGTGGGTATGGTCAGGAAAAAATTGGAAAATAAAACTTTACTAGAAGGATCTGCTTCGTATGTACACAAAATAGCATGTCTACCTACTTTTTGGATGAATAGTTTTTTACCACTATTTAGTTTTGTTAGCATGGCAGAGCCAATGCGGAGACAGACAAGAGAGAGAGCTTTTTTTCTGACTTGGGCATCATCAACAAAATTGTTAACTTAGTTCTGATTTCAGAAACTCCATTACCTGTCATATGAAGTCAGAAAGAGCACAGCCCGATGTTAAGATCCCACTTTAAATATGTATGCCTAGGAATTGCGTTCGAAAAATCTCTCTGAGTATTTGTAAAATGAGAAAATTTGATCTGAAAGCCAGAGAAGGGCAATAATAAAGACAGAAATTCACAATGCTATTTTTCCAGAGTCACTTTTCAGAGTAGAACCTGACTTCAACTTCTGTGCTTCAACTTCCCTAATTTTCAAAGTGGGGAAGAAAACACACTCAGATGTTGTGAGAATTGATTAGTTAATGTTTTTATATAATTTTTAAATATGCTTTCAATAAACTATATCTACCAATTTTGATACAACCAAATCAGGCATATCCTTTTATAATAATGTTAGCTTCCCACAGTAAACAGTAAAAATATATATTCAGAGTTCCTGTTGCTTTTTCACTGAGGAATCCCTATGTCTGAGAAAGAACAACTTGTATTATCTTTCGGGGAAAGGACACAACTTAGAACAGGTACTAAATGAGAAGTAGAGAGCAAAGTTGCACTGCTCTCTAGTGCCATCTGCTGCTTCAGAAGAAGGAATACATGAAGCCTAATTCTGATCCCATTGAAGTCAATGATTGTTTAAATGTTCATTTGTGTTCAAACATTAATGTTTATGGCACAATTGCCAGGACCAGGAGAGTCTAGCCTGGAGGCAGAAATCTAAATCTGAAGTAATTCAGTACCATCTGAGTATGTGTTCATGACCAGCATTTGAACCTGTGATTTCTGTTGTAGCAGATGCTGTTGAACATTCGAGGTTTTCAGCTTGTTATTCCCAAAGAAAACCCTGGCTTTTTGCTGTATTTGATTCAAGATACTGGAAAACACAGGAAAACAGCAGGCTAAATTCCTCTCGGATGAAATGCTATTGACTATAGGGGAATTAACCAGGGGTGAATTTGTCCCTAAGATAGGAGATGTGAATCTGGTAGCAGAAGGGTGATAATGGATAACTAATAATAATGACCTTTATTTATGGAAAATCTTTGACCTGGTACCATTAGCAAAACTGTGATTAAAAGAAGGAGGAAGATAATTTTTGCATAGGAGAGGGTGATCCAGGGCAAAGTGAGTCAATGGCAGAGCAAAACAATATTTTGGAGCCTCCACAGCCACTAGAAAACACTGCACAAATCTAACTTTTATGATTATTAGTCGTAGTATTTATTATTCCTTCGTGAGGAGCTATGTATCAGTGAAGAGATGTGGATCTGGAAGCAAAATTGCATAACTGTTTCATGCAGCGGTGACACTATGTATATTTTTCAATAAATAAATTTACCAGCCATCACAAACACAGTAAATGATAAATAATAAGGAAACCACTATTGGATATTGATATGTTTCCTTGTACAGATATGCTGAACATATACTTCGTGGGTTCAGAATCACTAAAAAGAGCTGCCTTTGCAGAATGTGACTCTCAGTAGACATTCCACACACTGTGGACCTAAAATAAGAACATAGGAATTGTCATGCTGAACCAGACCAGTGTCCAAATAGTCCAATATCTTAGTAACCTGTCTCTGACCATGGCCAGCACCAGGATTCAGAAGAAGGTTTAAGAACCCTGCAGTATGCGTATATTGGTTAATATGCCACACACACACACACACCCCCGTTAGGATTCACCCTGATCTCTAATAGTTAGAGATTGGCTTAAGCCATGAGACATCTGATTTAATATCCTTTCCACAAAATTTTTATAATTAATTATGATAATCCTGGATTTTCTTGAGCTCCATATAAATGTCCAGTCCCTTTCTCAATCTTGTTAAATTCTTCTCCTCAACAATTTCCTGTGACAATGAGTTCCACAATTTAATTACATGTTGTCTGAAAAAGTGTTTCCTTTTACTGGTTTTGAATTTTTTACCGTTTAATTTTATTAAATGTTCTGTGGTTCTTATGTTATGAAACAGGAATAATAGAAGTTCTCAGTCTGCTTTCTACCATTAATTATTTTATATACTTTTATCATAGCTCCTCTTATTTGTCTCTTATCTAAGGTAAACAATGCCAATATTTTTTCTCTCTTTTAACTGGAGGCTTTTCCATGTCCATGACCATTCTTTTCACCCTTCTCGGAACCCCTTCCAGTTCTGCAATATCCTTTTTCATACGGAGTGACTAGTACTCCACACAGTGTTCCAGGTGAGGCTGCATCACTGATTTATCTAAAGGAATGAGAACATTCTCAGTATTATTCACCATCCTATTCCTTATTCATCTTGGTTGCTTTACTGACCACAGCTATAGAGAGAGCAGAGGTCTTTTCACTGTACTGTCTATAGTGACATCCAGGTCCCTTTCTTAAATTAATAGTTAATTTAGAACCCTCAGTGGTGTGTGAGTAGTTTAATTTTTCCCCCTCAAATGCATATTATTTTGCATTTATCAACAGTGAATTTCATTTTCCATCATATTGCCTATTTGATTAGTTTGTTTAGGACTTTTTGAAGTTTCTTGCGGCCCTCTCTGGTCCTGAATAACCTAAATAACTTTGGGTCCTCTACAAATTTTCCTACTTCACTACTCACCTTGCTTCCAAGATCATTAATAAATATATTAAACAACACAGGACCTGGTATGGAATCTTGAGGCACTCAGCAGTTGACCTTTGGCCATAATGAAAATGTACCATTTAATTCCACTCTGCTTTCTGTCTTATAGTCAGTTTTTCTTTCATGACAATATTGTGCCTTTCACCTCATGAAGCCTCTTGTGGGGGACCTTGTCAAAGGCCTTGTGAAAGTGTAAATAAATTATGTAAACCCTTTCTCAGTTATGCTCTACTTTATTGACACATTTAAAGGATTTAAAGAGATTAGTGAGACACGATTTTCCTTTGCACAATGTGTGTTGGCTAGATCCTATAATATCATGATCTTCCAAGTGTATTGTTCTGTTTTTAATTATAATTTCAACCAATTTGCCAGCTATAGATGAAAGGTTTACTCGTTTATAATCCCCCAGATAATCCCTAGAGCCTTTTTTAGATATGTGCTACCTCTAATCCTATGGAACAGTGGCTGTTTTTAATGAGAGAGTACATATTTTTGGTAACAGCTCAGCTGCTTCATACTTTATCTCCTTCAGAACCCTTGGATATATACCAGCTGGGCCTGGTGAGTTATTGCTATTTAAATTATCACTTGGAATATAACTCACTAGCTCACATGGACTGAGAAATAGTAAATCTGTTTACATAACAAGGAAACCTGGAAGGTGTGAGAAATCCACTGAAATACAGATGGTGGACCAAAGTAGCCCTGGTGTAAAGAGATCACTCTGTCCCAGCAACTCCCACTGTCCTGGTCTGTATTATTAGGGACATTTTTTCAAAACGTCTTTATGAGTGTTAACACCAGTTATGCTCCATCAGTGTTAACATTGTTGGGAGCCTAAGTACAGGGAACACACTGCCTGAAACTTGTGTTTTAAGCGCTGTGTCATCTAAACCTGCTCTAAATAGATAAAAATATCCAGTGTTTAAAACGCTGATGGATCTCTGCCTGCAGTAGGGCTCCCAACATTGCTGCCACCTTTGCAGCTGGACTGCTGTTAACAGCAGTGGGAAATTTTTGAAAAATATCCCTAGCGTGGACAGTGCCACTGTCCTTAACCCACCCAGCAATATTGTTAATCTATCCAACTATACTCTTAGACCAGCAGAAGAATCTGTCCTATCTCGGGGCCTCTCCTTCTGCCCCTCCACCCGCACGAACATGATACAGTTCTGTGGTGACCTAGAATCCTATTTTCGACATCTCCGACTCAAGGAGTATTTCCAACACACCTCTGAACAACATACTAATCCACAGAGACCTTCCTACCAACACTACAAAAAAAAGGATTCTAGGTGGACTCCTCCTGAAGGTCGAAACAACAGACTGGACTTCTGCATAGAGTGCTTCCACCGACATGCACAGGCTGAAATTGTGGAAAAGCAGCATCACTTGCCCCATAACCTCAGCCGTGCAGAACACAATGCCATCCAAAGCCTCAGAAACAACTCTGACATCATAATCAGAAAGACTGACAAAGGAGGTGCTGTCGTCATCATGAATAGATCGGAATATGAACAAGAGGCTGCTAGGCAGCTCTCCAACACCATTTTCTACAAGCCATTACCCTCTGATCCCACTGAGGGTTACCAAAAGCAACTACAGCATTTGCTCAAGAAACTCCCTGAAAAAGCACAAGAACAAATCCGCACAGACACACCCCTGGAACCCCGACCTGGGGTATTCTATCTGCTACCCAAGATCCATAAACCTGGAAATCCTGGATGCCCCATCATCTCAGGCATTGGCACCCTGACAGCAGGATTGTCTGGCTATGTAGACTCCTTCCTCAGGCTCTATGCTACCAGCACTTCCAGCTATCTTCGAGACACCACTGACTTCCTGAGGAAACTACAACCCATCGGTGATCTTCCTGAAAACACCA